GGGGAGGGGCGGCGCTGCCCCCCGGCGCCGGGCTCACGGCGCGCCGTCCTGCGGTTCCAGATCATTCGTCAGGTCCAAGCCGTGTTCCCCTTCTTCAGGGACGACTACGACGGCTGGAAGGACTCCATCCGCCACAACCTCTCCTCCAACCGCTGCTTCCGCAAGGTGGGCGCGCGGGCCGAGGGGCGGAAACCCCGAGTCCCGGCGGGCAGCCCCACCCAAGCCTGCCCCACCCCCACAGGTGCCCAAGGACCCCGCGAAGCCCCAGGCCAAGGGCAACTTCTGGGCGGTGGACGTGAGCCTGATCCCAGCCGAGGCGCTGCGCCTGCAGAACACCGCCCTGTGCCGCCGCTGGCAGAGCCGGGGCCCGCGGGGGGCCTTCGCCAAGGACCTGGGCCCCTACGTGCTGCACGGCCAGCCCTACCGCCCGCCCAGCCCCCAGCCGCCTCTCAGCGAGGGCTTCCGCATCGAGTCTTTGCTCGCAGACCCCGTGCAGGGCGCGGCCGGGCCCCCAAAGGCGCAGGAGAGCCACCCCTGCCCCGCAGGCCATGCGCACGCCTCGGAGGCGGGGCGCCCCGGCACACCCCCCGCCGGCGGGAGGCTGCCGTGGGTCTCCAGAGCGGAGGAGACTTCCCAGGCGGCAGCCAGCAGGCCCTCAGCCCTCTCCCCTGCGCGGCGGGCCTGGCCCCTCCACTTGGTGCAGGGTACCCCCGTCCCCGGGGCACTGTCCAGTGGAGGGCACAGGGCCTCCTTCTGGGGACAACTGCCCACCTCCTACTTGCCCGTCTACACCCCCAACGTAGTGATGCCCCTGGCCCCTCTGCCGCCCACCTCCTGCCCGCAGTGTCCACCCTCAGGCAGCTCAGGCTACTGGGGGGCAGCCCCTGAGCCTCACGCCCCCCCGGGGCTGCTCTGGGACCTGGACACCCTGTTTCGGGGGGTGCCGCCCAACAAGAGCATCTATGACGTGTGGGTTAGCCGCCCTCGGGACCCGGCCACCCCCGGCCCCGGCTGGCTGCTGTCCTGGTGCAGTCTGTGAGGCTGGGGCAGGCCGGCAGCCCCCTCCCCACACTGGCCGGCCACCCAAGATGCCCAGAGTGGGTGTGGCTGCAGCAACCCCCAGATGCCAGGCGCTCTGCGGGGAGGCATCTACTGGCTGGCCGGCCCGGCTGCCCATCCATCAGCCTGTCAGCCCTCCCTGGCGCTGGGCAGGGGGCCCTGCTCCCCCGGGGCCTGGGGGAACTCTGGGCGGTGGGGGGCAGACTCAGCGGCCGGAGCAGTAAAGAAACCAAGGACTCTTTTAGCAAAGTCTGATTTTTGGAGGTGGCTTGGGTGCCGCCCACCAGCCCCGGGCTCAGGGTCCCCTGCTGTGTGCCTGATAACAGCAAATGGTGATAAGGGGGAGCTGGGGGCGGGGGCGGGGGGCTGAGTGGGG